GGCACTCAGCATCCCCTGACCCTCCGGGCTGGGACCCTCCAGTATGGCTGAGGGGTCTTTGGCCAAGCATGGAGGGGCCATCAGGTCTCTTTAACCCTTCACAGAAGGACAAGGACGGGCAGAGAGAGGCTTAGCAGAGCCCCTTGCTCTGGCTATGTGGGCACCTGTGGGTGCTCAGTCTGGCATCTGGTGCACAAAGGGGACCCAGCTCGTTTGCTGGTGGCTTCCATGCTCAGCCAGGCTCAGGAGCTCAGCACTCGACATCTCTCCCTCTCGCTGCTGTTAAACCTGAGCCGTCCCGGCGAGGCTTTTTCCACTCCTCCACCTATTCTCTTTTCCTTGTCGACATTTCACACCAGCTGGGAAAGGAAAGAGGGCCAGGGCTGGAGCCGAGACCCAGCCAGGGGAGAGCAGGAGAGAGACATTTCCTCCCTTGGAGAACAGCGACCAGAAACTCCACGTGTTAAATCACTCCCCACCGAGCGACACGTGCTGTGCCGAGGGGCAGAGGTGCCGGGATATCACTCATGGAGCTGGGCCTCCTGTACCACTTCCAGCCCCAGCCCCAGCCTTTCCCAACTGCCTGCCCCCAGCTGCCCTCCCTGCCTGCCTGTCCTCAGCACCTGCCCACAGCTCCTTTTTGGCCCAGCCCTGATTGCAGGTGCTGGAGGTTGGAAGGCACAAGAGGGGCCACCAGTACCCCAAACATGGGGGTTATTAATGTGTTCATGACACACCCCAGGGAGCTGCTCAGGAACTTGGGGTCTTTCCAAAGAACAAGTGTGGAGTGTGACTGAGTTTTTCCAGCACTTTTTCTGGCTCATCGGGGTTTCCCTCGGCCAAGCGAGCACCCAAGGTGCACACGCCCGGGTTACAGCAACAGCATCTTCACCTCAAGAGGGGATGGAGGGGAGGGTCTGAGCCGTTTCCCCCACACCAAACCCCAATGCTCTTCCCAGAGCAGCCGCTGCTGGAGCACTGTGGATGGGGCAGTGCTGGGCTGTGATGACCGGACCTGCCAGGTCGGTGCTGGGTCCTCGGGAAGAGCTGCCGGAGCCCTCCCTGTGGGTTCACACAGACATAGACCCTCCGGGGAGCCCAAGTCTTGGCTCTGGGAGGAGAAACTGGAGAAGGCTCGGCTGCCAGTGGCTGATTTACTGCTGGGCTGAATAGCTTATCAGGAGTTCAGCTCAGCACACATGTCAGAAAACACACAGCAAAACCTGGAGCCGAAGCGTGCTCCGAGCCCCGCTCCCTGCCCCCTTCCCAGCTGTTGTAAAGCTGCTCCCTGAATCCCAGCCAGAGACAAAACCTTCCAGCGTAGCACAGGAACGTTTCAGCTGCTGGTGGGACTGGATTCAAGTATCTCCCTGCTGGTTTTCCTTCTTTTTTTCTCCCTTCTTCCTATGCATGGGAGCAGCCTGCACTGCCTCTGAGCCGCGCTGCCTGCTAACTGAGGTGGAGAGAGGAGTGAGTGTGCTGGGATCTTTGCAAGGTGTGGTGTGGGTGTGAGCTTTGCCAGGTTAGACCAGGCACAGGTTAGAGGAGACAGTGAGTCAGGGCAGAGCACAGGAGTCCCATGGACATCACTCCTGGAACACCTGGGAAAGAGCAAGGATGGGCAGGAGGGCAGCTGCAGCCCGAGCCACCAGCCATGGGGCTGCACAGAGGCAGCCAGGGAAGCTGGTGCCTCCTGGATCCCACTGAGCTCCCATCTCTGCTTAACCTCTAATTTGGCAAGGAAAATCCCTGCTGGCCTCCTGCCCTGCTCGGGGAGCTCAGCTGACTCGCCGCGACGGCGCAGGGCCGTGCCGTGTCCCTGCGGGTTGCCCTCGAGTCGGCAGGGAGCTGTGCGGGGCCCCTCCGTGTGCTGCCCCAGGACGTGGGGCTGCAGGTGCCATCTAGGGAGAGATGGAGCTGCTTTCCTCAGGGTGCAGGCACCTTTTCTGGCCCCAAAATAGACTCCTCAGGAGCGAGAGCAGCTCAGGGCAGGAGATGCTGCTAAATACTACAGTGCTAAAAGCACAGCAGCAGATATTTGCACAGTTGGGTTTTATTTTAGCTTGGTTAAAACCATGGCTGTGCAGCTTGTAGCCAGGTAAAACCTCTGCTGGGTGCTGGCTGGGGCTCAGGAGACCAGCATTTCCCTATGGACACAGGGAACCAAGGCAGTGGCACCCCAGCTTGGGCATCAGTAAGGCACAGGTGATGCCCTGTGCAGGTTTCTGCCAGGGGAGTGGTGGAGATCCCATCCAGCCACAGCCCGGAGGGTTCAGCCCAGGGCAGCAACCTCAGCAGTGAAGGTGAAGGAGCACTTTTCACCTCCAAGGTCCAACCTCTGCCTCCAGAGCTGCACTGCCCAGGAGCTGGAAGCAGGCAGGTGCTGCCCAGTGTCCCCAGAGCCACAGTGCTGCCCTGGAAGATGGGATGAGAGATGCAGTAACGCTGGTCCCATGCGATGTCTGTATGAGCCCGTGAAAGTCGCTCTCACGAGACAGGGGTTGGCAGCAGTGCTGGAAGGAGCTGGGCCAGGCTCAGCCATGGAGCAGCCAACCTCTCCTTCCTGCAGTGTCATCCGGCCGCGCCGGCCAGAGCCGCTGCTGACTGCTCGTGGCTGGGAACTGCTTCCCATCTTGCTGGATTATTTCCTCTGCCAGGCCCCTCTTCCAGGCACACGGGGTCCTTCCTGGGACGAATGCAGCTCCAAAGGGGCTGCAGGATCTACCTGGATGTGTGGATGCTCCTCAGGAGGTGAAAAGCTCTGAGGTGCCCAGGCGAGACGCGCCGGCCAGAGCCGCTGCTGACTGCTCGTGGCTGGGAACTGCTTCCCATCTTGCTGGATTATTTCCTCTGCCAGGCCCCTCTTCCAGGCACACGGGGTCCTTCCTGGGACGAATGCAGCTCCAAAGGGGCTGCAGGATCTACCTGGATGTGTGGATGCTCCTCAGGAGGTGAAAAGCTCTGAGGTGCCCAGGCGAGAGCTCGCAGGGGCCGTGCCTGCTCCTTCCCCTTCCCGCTGCCCCAGCTGGCTCTTTGCATCAGCATTCATGGCAGCTTTGTTCATGCTTCGAGGGGAACACATAACCCCATGCTGCTGCTGTGAAATGCAGAGCTCCGAGACATGCGTCTGTGGTAAGACATGGGCTTTTGAAATCGGATACCAGTGGGGCTGCAATGTCCCAGTTTCTCTCCCCGAACGTCCCCGGTTTGGTTTTCCCGTCTGCTTTCTTGGCCGCCTGCAAGCTGGCAGCTCTTGCCTGGCGTTTCTCTTTGCTGCCTTCTGTGAGAGTGTGTTCTTGCTTTTTCCTTCCTTCGTTGGCTCAGCTGTAGATCCTTGTTCTGATTCCATGCAAAGTGACCTAGAAAACTAATTCTTTTCAAACCATTGCAAGAAGAAAAAAAAAAAGAGGGGGAGGGGGGGGAAACACATTGAAATAATTTTCTGGAGAAAAATTTTTCCAGGATTCAAACCCCAGAAATCTGCTTTAGAGCACATCTCCCTTGTCTTCTTTCCCACACCACTTTCTGGGGTGAAGGAGGAGCAGGAGGTTTGCAGAAATCCAGTGGCAATGTCATAACAGACAAGTATTTCCTTAATTTCCACAGCCAAGTGACCTCTATTACAGCCTGGGATACGGGCCAGGCTTTGATATGTAGATAAGCTCTGGAAATGCTTCTATTACCAAAAGTAAAACAAGAAGGCACCAGGCTTGGACATGGCCAGAGCTAATTGTGGTGCTTGGGAAAGGTAAAGCTGCCTCGATGCACCAGAACCTGGCTGCTGCTGCTGCTGCTGCCCGGGTTATTCTTCTCACGTGTCTCAAATCTCCCCTAATCTTTTCCCGTTGACTGAGAAAATCTCTGTGTTGGCAGATCCTGGCACTACGGTGTCTGTGCTCCTAAGGCCTCGCTGGGGAGCTGCCCAGGCTGGGGGCTGCACTGACAGACCTTGGGGACCCCCTGTCTCCTCCCCAGTGCCATGCCAGGGCTCACAGCCTTGTGCCATGGGCCGATTCTGCGCCCATCCCAGATGGGATCCATTCCCATCCCGGGAACTTGCCTGTACAGGTCCGTTCCTGACCAGAATGTTCAGCTTGGGGCAGATTTGGTTAAAATTTGCCTAAAGCGTCATGTTCCTCTCCTCTGCCCTTTGCATTTCTCATCACAGTCCCACATACGAGTGACTGTCAAGTATTTCCTTCATTTCAAGATTCCCAAAAAAAGAGTTTGTCAGATTTATTCTTTCTCACCCGTTCCTGGGGTCAGGTGGGAAGTGACACCCAGCCTGGGCCGGCCTCGGGGAGTTATTTATGCTCACGGCTGCGCTTTAAGTACCGAGCTGCTGTGGGCATGTAATCTGGCTCTCCTCGGCTTTGTAGTCTCTCAGCCCATTAGTTTCTTTCTTATATCCGTTTGCAAAAGACCTCAATAAATTCTTTAAATGTCAAGTGGTTACAGCCTATTCCCAGCTGGGCTGACTCATTTGGACGTAGCTGAGGTTGCGTTTCCCTTGCAGCTATTGGCTTTTCCTCATCCTCAGCTCTTTTTTTTTTTGTGCTTCTTGGTGAGTTTTTCTCTGCCTTGCTGGACACGGGAGCCGAGCCAGCGAGCACCGCAGGCATGTCTTAACCCATCCACGAAGCACCTCTTTGGTCTCTCAAGTACATGTCCAAGAGTTTTCTTTTTAATCCAAAAGGATTAAAGGTCTCCTGAGGCCCTGGACTCGAGGGATGAGGTGGAAGGATTATCCTCGGTCTTGGCTTGCTCTGTCGCCATCCTTGGCTGAACATGGGTAGGAGCAACTGAATCCCACGGTGCTTTCGAGGCCGCTGGGAAATGAGACAGCAGGAGGTTTGGATCCAGCTCCTAAAAAAAACACACAGTAGGTCATCACAAAACAACACTGCCAGAGCCGACGGCAATTGCTGGTCCTGTTGACACCGTCTGCGGAGGAATGGATGGAGTAACGCTTGAATTAGTACCCTGGGCTCTGGCCAAGGTCTTGCCTCAGGACAGTCCTGCTGATGCGGTAGCCCAGGAAGCCACTGTGGCCGCGCTTAAATAGAACCATTTCTAGAGAAGGGCAGCGCTGAAGCCCCTCGGCTGTAACACCCCGAGGGCATCCACTGCTGGCTCCGCTAAAGCTCCGTCTCCTCTCTCCACAGACATGCCACCGCTGCTGCCCATGGACCTCAAAGGGGAACCAGGACCCCCAGGGAAGCCCGGCCCGCGTGGACCCCCTGGGCCCCCCGGCTACCCAGGAAAGCCGGGCACGGGGAAGCCAGGAATGCACGGCCAGCCCGGGCCAGCTGGGCCCCCCGTCTTCTCGGGTATCGGGAAACCCGGCATCCCCGGACTCCCCGGAAAGGCGGGTATGAAAGGGATGCCCGGAGCCAAGGGCGAGCCCGGCATGCGAGGAGAGCAAGGGCCAAGAGGACTGCCTGGCCCCCCGGGGCTGCCGGGG